AGTTTAAGTCTGGCTGACGTTTATGGCTTGACAGCAGTTCAGATGAATGTCATGGCTGCCTGGCTGTTAATCTCAGTTACAGTACTGCACCATGGTCCTGTTTATGATTGATGAACTGCTGATTTAATGTTTTTGGAACTACAGCAAATACATATATTAATGTACACTCATTTTATGGTAAAGTCTAGTAGTAAAATCAGTGGTTCACTGCCCTGCTCAGTGCTCTCCAGTAGTACTGAACACATGGTTATTGCCTCCGCCAAGGGAGGGGTAATGTTTTTGCTGTGTTTATTGGTTTTTTTCCAGGTTGTGCGTGTTCACGAACTATCCTCTTATTTTTCGGAAGAGGCTCTCTGGTTTTATTGTTCTGAAATAATTACAAACTATTTGGAGTTATGAGGGATGCCAAGATAATCTAGAGGTACTCAAGATTAAACATTAAATGGCTGAAAATGAGCAAAATGAGCAGGTCATTGACACTTTAAGGAATATTAACAAATACTGACTAGACATCAGCACATCTTGTTTGTATCACTAGTCAGCTCCTGCTGATGAAACTAAACTAACCATGGCTTAAAGTGGCTACAAAAATGAATTCTTTAAGCACAGCTTCTGTCTTTTGTTAGGTCACTGGTAATGGGAACATCTATTCTGAGATGTCTGTATATTATAAGTAACTGATATAATGCAAAATGCCTCTCTGCTTTGCATGCACATGGCATCTAACTGTGCATTACTGCTTGTATTCACTGAAGTGAACAACAAGGTCTGGTGGCAAAGTCTGGTGAGATGACATTAATTGTTAATCTCAAGCACCACTCTACAAGTTCATAGATTAGGATCCGTTAATGTATTGTTGTTATTATTATAGGAAAAACTAAAACATAACTCTTTCAGAAGAAACAGAGATAATGTAAGTAAATGTTTGGCTGAGCTTCCTTCAGATCTGATCACACCATCATAGGTGAAATCAAAGCAGCTCTGCTGTGGGCCAACAGACTTGCATTTTAAAGTTCACCATTCCACTCAAACAAACTAAACTGGCTGTGAAATAATGCTGTCAGAATGCTGATGTGACCAGGCCAATAATTTCCCATGAAAATAATGTCGTTTTTTTAAAATGTTCACAAATAAAAAGAACCACAAGCCTTTAATTTTAATGAATATACATTATGGCAGCAGTGACAGAAACATAGTACTTTTTCCATTATACTTATCAGTTTGTGTTTTGTAACACACATGACATTTGTCTTTTCCACTATGTCAAGGATAACCAAGGAGTGGCTCCGTAAGAAGCATATCAAGGTTCTGGAGTGGCCTAGCCAGTCTCCAGACCTCAGTCCAATAGAACATCTTTGGAGGGAGCTTAAACTCTGCGTTGCTCAGCGACAGCCCCGAAACCTGACAGATCTAGAGGAGATCTGTGTGGAGGAGTGGGCCAAAATCCCTGTTGCAGTGTGTGCAAACCTGGTCAAGAACTACAGGAAACGTTTGACCTCTGTAATTGCAAACAAAGGTTTCTGTACCAAATATTAACACTGATTTTCTCAGGTGTTCAAATACTTATGTTCAGCAGTGCAAGACAAATAAATTCTTTAAAAATCATACAATGTGATTTCCTGCACTTTTTTTAAAAAATTCTGTCTCTCAGAGTGGGAATGCACCTACAATGTGAATTTCAGACCCCTCCATGATTTCTAAGTGGGAGAACTTGCAAAATCGCAGGGTGTTCAAATACTTCTGTTCCTCACTGTATCTGTTTTTCTTACTGCTAGTGATTAATGATAAATAGTTAACAGATGTCAATCAAACTGCAGTGTTGGAATACTACACATTTCATCTCTCTGTTATGGCTTTTTGTTTTATGAATGTAAGAGCCATAAGAGAACAGGAGATTAATGTTATGCAATAATTATAAGAAAGACTATTGCTTCGATGTGTTTTGCCATTTACCTTTATTAACAAATGTTATATTGTTGGGGAAGAAAGTTGTTAAAATTACTTTAGTTTGAAAAGGTTTTGTGGCATCTACTGCTGGTGTAATAACAAGATTTTTATTTGGCATTTATGCATAAACAGACAGTCTAGGCATCTAGGAATTCTTGTGCACAGCTCTCCTGGAGTCAAGTAAAGACTTTAAAGCCAAGAGGCGGTAGAAAGTTAGATTGCTTCACTTTGGAAGTTAGCCGTTGGCAGAGTGAAACTGTTTTTTTGACCGAAGGAATAAAACATGTCCATGTTACACCTTTTTTGAGGATTAAACTATAAAAAATGGAAATATTGGCATGGAAGAACTCTTTTGTGTCATACTTATTGCTTGTCTGTACGCTAAGTAGCGGATGTTTCTGCAACTACAATAAATGTTCCATTGTGGCTTTATTCCTACATGACATATACAGAAAGATACACAGTTCTAACAATGATATTAACACTTCTTGAGTCAGAGGAAGCAGTGTCATTTCTGGAGAACCGAGGTGGGTTGAAAAGTTTAATGATATGAAACTGTGTTCAGTCCCAGGCTGCATCACCAATGGGTTTTTAAATGTCAGCAGATATTGTAAATGTGAGCGTGGGTATTTGTGCTCTGCCTGCTTGTGCTCCTCCATGTGTACTCCTCCCAAATCATATTGTCTTATTTTAAATATATTTTGAATATGTTCTGGTAGTAATGCACTTGACAATGACAAAGGATGAAAATATAGGGAAGGAATCTACCACTAAGAAGGTTATTGCAGCAGCTGTGGATAAGGAGGTAGAGCAAGCCATCTCCTAACTATGGGGTTGACGGTTCAATTCCAGGCTTTTCTAGTCTATGCATTGAAGTGGCCTTGAGAGCAAGACACTGAACTGAAAGTTGCAATTTGACTTTACAACTCATTGTTCATGACTGGAAGATATCTGATGATATGTCAGTCATTAGCATGAAGATCATCAAAGATGCATCACTTAAAATATCTGACTGTACAGAAAGTTACAGTTTATATTCCTAAAATCTGGTGAGCTAACATCTTCTAGTTGTAGGCTCTATGCCAGATATCAGTGCATTTTTTCCATAAAGGTTTTAATTTCAGCACAAAATTGGTTATGGTTAATGCATGCTAAAGAGTGTTACATTTTGTTCTATCTAAGCAGAGGATTTTCAGTGTGTTGCTAACTTGAATAACCCAGTATGGATGCCACAAGATTACAGTGTGTGAAACCAGCACCTGAGTTTTGTTTCACAGTATATATTGAGCACTTCAGCCAAACGTCACATGTGCTTAGATCATCTCTGGTTTCCTCAGGAGTCATTTACACTGAACTGGGTCGCAGTTTGAGCCTGTGGCAGCAGCTCCTCATGATGCCTTTTGCCAAGTTCTTCTTCATGGACCCTGAAGTGGGGTCCCAGACCACCCTATACTGTGCACTACAGGAGGGCATTGAGCCTCTCAGTGGACGCTACTTCTCGAACTGTACAGTTCAACAAGTGGGAGCCAAGGGACGAGATGATGCCCTGGCAAGGAAGCTGTGGGAGGTGAGTGAGAGGTTAACCAGTTTATCATAACAAAGTGAATCCTAACCCAGAAGCTCCAAAGACTGTCTGAACACTGGACCTAAACAGGCCTCCGGTGTTGACTGTTGGTCTTTGTTTCTTTAAGGACTGGTGTCTTATGTATGCTGTAGTGGATCTTTTGAATAATCCTATTATCTTTTGACAATTGTAAGATGCAGCAGTGCAATGTTGCATATTTGCTATTATTTACATAGTCTTATTGTACATTTACAATGTATATGCTATTATTTTCTTCAGCCATATACAAGGGAATTCTGTGATACAACCAAGTGATATACTGTATCTGGACAATTTACATTATATGCATATTCTCTGTATACTCGCATGCATTCATATCACTGCTAAGTGAAAAGAAATTTAAAAGACACATTACAAACTAAAACAACCCCAACTAAAAAAAAACTGTCATTGTCCATAATAAAGTAACTAATTACAAAAAACTATTTTTCAGGTTCACTGGTTTTTGTGATTGGAGATGTTCTTCATGTTCTTATGTAGAGAAATATTGAGGTGCCCATTGTGTTGCACCTGTGCTAAATAACCATGTGTCATTCACAGATTTATGATCTGCTATGTAGCTTAATGCTTTTGTCTGTAACATATTTGGCAGTTTTTCACAGAAGGGTGATGGCAGCTGTGCTTATACCACAAATGTAGCCACTTAAAATGTGTCACTCAAACTATTAGATCCATGTTTCATTTGTTGTGTCACATAAAAATCAGAATTTGATTTTTTCCATGTTTTTGTCTGAGTTGGGCAATCAAAAAAAGTCTTATTTCTGTTTTTCTGTAATTTTTGTGCACCGCTGGCCACTGCCAAGTGCATGCACAGACTGAACACCAATGCACATCATGGAAAACCACTGAATCAAATGGAAATATTTTTTCAATCAATAGTGATGGTAATTTTAAGGGGTCTGAAAAGGAAAACAGAAAAAGTGCTGTACATGGTCTGAGATCTTATTCATATCTGACATTTGACCATATGGCTGCTGTCAGAACAGACAGCACATTTTAGTTTTTTTTAAACATCTCACTTCTCTGCGCATGTGCATATTGCTTGTTGTCACACCCAGTCCTCTCACAGCCTGGTAAATGGTTTTATATTTGTATAGCGTCTTTCTATGCTTCACAGCTCACTCAAAGCGCTTTCACACTATTTGGCCATTCACCCATTTGCACTCCCAAACACACACACATTCACACACCAGTGACATCACCGGGAGCAACTGGGGGTACAGTGTCTTGCTCAAGGACACTTCGACATGTTGACTGGACAAGCCGGGAATCGAACTGCTAATCCTCCGGTTAGGAAACGACCTGCTCTATCTCCTGAGCCACAGCCGCCCCCAGTAAGAGGAACCAAAGAGAGCAACAGTAGCAATGGAGTATTTTAAATTTGTTGGACCTATATGAAGAAACTTCTGATAAAGCCAAACTGGAAGGCACGTGACCTAACTGAGCGGTTTTTGAGGGCATTGTGTAGATTGACTGTTGTACAACTGACATTTTTGTTATTCTTGTATGCCTCACATTTCTGTTAAATCTGGGCATGCATGGCACTTCAGGATCTCAGCAGTGTTCAAATTGGAGCCGGCTACATGTCTCTTAAAAGTTTGAAAGTGAAAAGTAAACCTAAAAAGACTGCAGCTGATAAAACGTTTGAAATTGAGCATTAAGGTTTGTTAATTGAGCACAGCCTAATTTACACAAGGTAATAGTAATCTGTGTGAGGATAATTTTAGGAGATTTGCTGGGAGGAGGCAACTGTTGTGAGTCACAAATGCTGCTTTAAGTTAAACTCAGAGAAAAAGTTTCATACTCTTCAAAAAGTTGTGTACTATTGTTAACACTGCCACTGAGACTTCCCCAGGTTACCTCAGTTGTTATTCATTATCCCTACTAATTATGTCTATGGATATTACACAGACTACAGGTGGTCCACCATCACCACTGAATAGGGTAGTAAAGATTAATATTTGTCAGAAACACTAATTCCCATAGTTTCCATTTTTACCTCCAGTAAGGGTGAGGGTTATATTTTTGCCAGCATTTGTTGGTTTGTTATTTGTTTGTTTACGGCATACAGTGGGTACGGAAAGTATTCAGACCCCCTTAAATTTTTCACTCTTTGTTATATTGCAGCCATATACTAAAATCATTTAAGTTCATTTTTTTCCTCAATGTACACACAGCACCCCATATTGACAGAAAAACACAGACGTTTTGACATTTTTTCAGATTGATTAAAAAAGAAAAACTGAAATATCACATGGTCATAAGTATTCAGACCCTTTGCTGTGACACTCATATTTAACTTAGGTGCAAAATAGTAGGCTAGTCTGTTGGCAAGGACACTGGTGTTCCAGCTGCACATTATCAAATTATAGCTGTGTTTCCACTGTCAGAAGCTAACAAGCAGTACACCCTGTGCTTCTGCTTCCCTTAACCTTTTTTTTGTGCTGTCTGTATCTGTTTACAGGACAGAGAGGGGCTAAGCTTCTTTCTCACACACTCACAGCTGAGCAGAGTACTTGACAGATCCCTCCACAGTGCAACAGTCAGTAACACAGACTATATGAGCAGTTTATCAAACAGCTGTTGAACAAGCAGAACAAAAACTTGCAGAAATGTGGTCTTCACCACTTTGTCTGTGGTTCACTGACTGAAGTCCCTATTTTATCCCTAAATGTCTGTTATGTCTGTTGTTTTTCTTGAGTAACCTTCAAATTAATAATGATATCAGCATAATTGCAAATGCCAGGGGTAGGTTTTCATGGTCAGTCATTCAGATGATTAGAGTTAAACTATCATGGGAATGTTATGGTGCCTCCTAAAGACAAAGCACATGCAAAAACTAAATCTTCTGCAAATCCATAAACTGTCACACAAACATAAAACACACTTCAAATGCACAGGTGCAAACAAAAGTCAAAGCGCATGCAAAAACAAAATGCTATTCAAACCCAAAAGCACAAACAAAAGTCGTCTTCTTTGGTGTGGTTGTTTTTGCATGTGCTTTGTCTGTAGGAGCTGCCGTAGAATATTGCTTTTATGGTATTATGGGGAAACTGAGTTGTGCCTTGGCGGAGGTCTGTACTCTTTGGGTGCCGTCTGGTTTCACTCTGTGCTCTCTTGATCACTTTCTGTACAAATGCAAGAGTAAGAAATACACAAACCAGATTAAGATGTGTTTTGGTTTTTGTGTACTTGTTTATTTGATTACACTTTAACATAAAAATAGGAAGGCATACAGTCCCTTTTTTGACAAAAAAAATGAGAAAATTTAAATTAGAACTTTTTTTTCTGTTTTTGTTTACCAGATTTAATGAAATAGTGAATGAATGGATGATACATGGATCAAAATACTGTATGTAACCTAATCCGAATTACTCTGCAGAAATCTGTGAATTATAAGGAAAAATTGCAGCAGGTAAAATTTAAAATAAAACCACACACATTAAAAAAAAACAGCAAAGGTATTGAGGTTTAAAGCAGCTGCTTGTTTATACTGTTTAATTTGTTATACTATACAGCCTTATATTGGTATATTGTTTACTTGCCCTTTGCTATTGCCTTACATAAGGATATGTGCACATTGAGAGCTGCTGTACCAGAGTCAAATTCCTGGCGTTGAACACACCTGGGGCCCGTTTCAAGGAGGAGGTTTAACAAACTCAGAGTTCAAACCTGAACTCTGAGTTGACTTACACAAAGTTGGAAAACTTGGAGTTTTCGGTTTCAGAACAGCTGAAAAGAGTTGGTTTAATCAACTCTGAGTAGTCTGACTATAAAAAGCCCTGAACAATGGAGTGAAGACATTACGAGTCACCATGGCAACAGGACCAAGCAAAAATAGGTCTGCGTTTTTTCCCCGACAGAAATGGATGTGCTACTACAAGCATATAGTGACTACGAGCCCATATTTCGTA